TGACCATGCCTTGGTCTGCGCCAATCTTGCCTTACTTTTCAGTGGCCAACGAAGTGACCACCACCAACGGATTGATGTTAGCAAGCTGGTTGCAACTTCTGTTGCAAATAAGTATCGAACCGAGCTAGCCTCTAGGCTAGCTACCACTCCACCAAAAAGTATAGATGAGCATTGGTTGCAATTGCATGACGCCATGAAAAAAAAAAAAAAAAAAAAAAAAAAAAAAAAAAAAAAAAAAAAAAAAAAAAAAAAAAAAAAAAAAAAAAAAAAAAAAAAAAAAAAAAAAAAAAAAAAAAAAAAAAAAAAAAAAAAAAAAAAAAAAAAAAAAAAAAAAAAAAAAAAAAAAAATGGGCAAAGCTTGCGTAAGGACCGAGAAGCCTGGTGGTCGATGCGTGCTAATGAGCTGGAAGCAGCAGCTGCATCTGGTAACTACCGGAAGCTCTTCCAGCTCATCCGAGCCACTGGCAGCAAGAAGTCTGGTGTGAGTGAAACAATCTGCGAGGATGATGGGATGCCAATCACTAACATCCATCGACGTCTTGGACGATGGGCAGAATTTTTCGAAGGGCAGTTCAACTGGCCTGCTGCTCCGGCAACATCGGTCAGACTGTCCTGCCCTCCATGGCCGGTGACGACTGATCCACCAAACGAGGAGGAAGTCCGCAAGGAACTCCAACTCTTGAAGCGTTACAAATCACCTGGCCCAGATGACTTACCTCCGGCTCTTTTTAAAGATGGTGGTGACTTTTTGACTAAGGAATTGACGACGTTGTTTACAAAGGTTTGGGAACTAGAGAGTGTACCAACGTCATGGAATGAGTCGATAGTTGTCCCTATCTTTAAAAAGGGTTCACGTCGTTCCTGTAACAACTATCGGGGGATAAGTCTACTTCCGATTGCGTCCAAGCTATTGGCTTCCGTCATACTTCGTAGGTTGTTCAAAACCCGAGAAAGATTGACTCGCGAGGAGCAGGCTGGGTTTCGTTCTGGTCGAGGATGTATTGATCATATCTTCACCCTCCGCCAAATGTTAGAACACCGCCATACTTTTCAAAGGCCAACAATCGTAGTGTTTCTTGACATCAGGGCTGCCTTCGATTCGTTGGACAGGACTGTTCTCTGGGATTGTCTATTGAAGAAGGGTGTGCCTGAGAAGTTTATTAACATCCTAAAAGCCCTATATAAAAACACCTCAGGCAGAGTGAGGGCATACAACCACCTCTCTCCATTGTTCCATTCGAGCAGTGGGGTTAGGCAGGGTTGCCCAATCTCACCATTCCTCTTCAACTTTGCCATCGATGACATTCTGGAAACAGCTCTGATGAATGTAAGTAATGGTGGTGTGGATCTGTTGCCTGGAGAAAGACTTCTCGACCTTGAGTATGCGGACGATATTGTCTTACTGTGCGATAATGCCCAAGGCATGCAATCCGCACTTAATCAGTTGGCAATCAGTGTCCGTAGGTATGGTATGTGCTTTGCACCTTCGAAGTGCAAAGTACTTCTACAAGACTGGCAGGATTCCAATCCTGTACTCACCCTGGATGGTGAGCAGATAGACGTAGTCGAGAAGTTCGTGTATCTGGGTAGCTGCATAAGTGCTGGTGGGGGTGTGAGTGATGAGATCAATGCACGTATAGTGAAAGCCAGAGCGGCTTATGCCAATCTGGGCCACCTTTGGCGCCTTCGTGATGTTAGTCTGGCTGTAAAAGGTCGGATCTACAACGCGTCGGTGAGAGCAGTTTTGCTCTATGCTTGTGAAACCTGGCCTCTCCGAGTTGAGGACGTTAGACGACTCTCTGTGTTCGATCATCGCTGTCTCCGAAGGATTGCTGACATTCAGTGGCAACACCATGTCAGTAATGCAGAGGTTCGGCATCGTGTGTTCGGGCACAGAGATGATAATTCAATTGGTGTCACCATCTTGAAACACCGACTTCGGTGGCTTGGACATGTTCTCCGAATGTCGTCCCAGAGAATTCCACGTCGTGCATTATTTGCCGACTCTGGGACTGGTTGGAAGAAGCGGAGAGGTGGTCAGTGCATGACATGGTGTCGTGGCATGAAAGAAAGCTGCAAAGGACTGGCTTGTGTTGGTCCTTCACGACTCCCTGGTTGGGGTCTGAGAGATGGTGCTACACAGTGGCTAGAGACGTTATCAGATATGGCTCAGAATAGAAGCCAGTGGCGATCCTGCTGTAACCTTCTTTTACTTTCTTCATAAAAAGTGGTTGTGTCTCCCTTACCTGAAAGATTTCTTCCGATTGTACCTTTGCGTTCCCTGATTACTAGCACATTACCTTACACCAATCTCTTCGTTATTGTTCTCTCTTTTTTTGTTGCGCTCCTTAGCTTTTTTTTTCTTTCTTTGTATTCCTCTCGAATTTTCATTGTTTTGTGTGGCGCATATATATTGGCGCTCTCTTGTACCAATATTCATGTGTCCAAATAAATAAATAAATAATGTCCATGTTTCAGAATCTACCGAAGGCTGAATATTTGGTTCATACATCCACGTCCAGGTCTGAAACCAGACTGGTTTTCTCGGATTCGCTCTTCATAAGCTCTAGTTAGACGTTAAGGTACTATCCAGGCTAATATTTTAGGCAATAAATGGGTTAAACTTATTTCTTTATGGTTGTCTTTTCTTATAAGCTGGGACAATCAGCGATCGAGACTAGTCGGATAAGATTACATCCAGTTTCTAGATTTTAGTTAAGATTTGAGTTAATCCAACTGCAAAAACCGGACCATTAGTTCATCAGTTTTTGCTGCTCGCCCTCGCTAGAGATTACTTATAGCCTTTTCAACCTGACTAAGAGTTGGAGGACTTTAGTTCCCCATTCAGGTTCCTTGAAGATAGTGGGTAACTAAAATTTCGCTGAAGGCAGGTTGAACTGTCCTCTAGTGTTCTGCTCATCGCTCCCAAATGCCCTGGTACGGTCGATGGTAAGAAGAATCCATCCTCCCTCTTGAAATGTTCTCATATGGTCACTCGTATACAGCCACCGCTAGTGAAGTTCTACTCACTGCGGGGTGTTGTTTACGAAATTGAGAGGATGAAAAGCGAATGTCCGTCACTCTAAATGGGTCGGTGGATATGGATGATCTACCTCAAGGAGTTGGAAGACCTTGATTCCCAACCACTGGTGCATCCTCGTACCTATGTTTATCTTAAAATAAATAAGTTCTGCTCATCGGTTCAATGTCTTGAACTTAGAGTGAATAATAGTCCCGTCTTTTTGCGAGATAGTTTCACTAATAGCCCTATTTTTAATACCTGTCTCCTTGATAACTCTGGACAGTTATGTTCAAATAAATGAGTGAATAAAATCACTACTGCCCTTTTCGCTACCCACCACTGCTCACGATCATTACGTAGGCTTTTGATCAACCTACGTTTAAGCTGCCTCCACTCCTTATCGTGTTCTGAGCCAGACAGGATGAGTTTTCCAGCATCTATCAGTCCTGTAGACCCCACAGAAATCTACTGATTTCTCCTAACCTTATGGTTTAATTTACGTGGGATTAGATTTAGTTGTAAACCAGTTCCGAAAAATCCGTGCAGGGATCACACAAAAAGATGGCTCAGTCATTCAGTTGCAACAGGAAGGCTATTAGTCTAGGGTATCGACCGCGAGACGCATTCTCCTTGTGATATAAGAAGTAACTAGGACCCACGGTTCGAAACTCTTGGTGTCAACATTCGCCACATCACAAATATATTTGACCCTATTCACTCTACCAATCTTCAACTTAGTAATATTAAATACTACTCATTCCTCGGCATTATTTGTTCTTTCTGAAATTTGTCATATGTTTAGCTTTCGAAAATGATATATTATGATTTATACCTATTTGCTTCTATTTTATTGGTTCCTTCTTACTAAGATGTCGAGTGCAGAACTTGAATGGGGATATATTTATGCTAAATTCAGTATATGTGTGTAAAAAAACCCTCAGTGACAAAGTACGAGAAACAAGCTTACATCACAATAGAATTTCGGTGTTCAACATTCAAGAATTTGGGATAAAATGGAGAAAGACATAATTTCGTTGAAAACGAGATGTCATTACTGACTAACTTGACAATAGGGAATCTTGTGATGCTTAAAACGCTTGAATATGTCACGAAATCGATTTGCATGGTTCTAAACTCAACTCGAAACATCATTTCACAGACACTGATGGATTTGTATGAAAGCATTGTAATAGTAATATACTAATTTATGGACGACTTATGAGCGACGCTAGAATGACCTTGGGAGTGTCCACATAATTTGCAAAAGCACTTATGATCCAATTAAAGATAAAAACGGGGAGTCTACAATTTATGGACGAACCGATTAGATCAAATTCATCCATCGATAAATCCAAATAAAATTCTGTGTTACGATTGATATTAGTTCGTGCTGAAAACCCTTTAATTATTAATCATAATCCTTAACTTCTCATAATAATTAATAACCCTCTTTGGGCCCTAGTAATTTGGATATTTCTAGGTCACTGATGTCAAAGTTCGTTCGAGAATTATAGTCTCACAATACGACTATACTGCTCTCTCGAACTAAGGATGACGAATTTTTGATCATTTTTCACTTGGCAGCTAAAGAAACTTATGTTTCTTTATGCGATAACCAATATCCGAACATAAAAATAGCAGTACAAATGACGCGTTTACTGAAACGTAATTTAAGATTACAGTCCATTCAATGCATGAGTTCAGATATGAACGATATCTATATGACAATAAACCAGTGTAAGACTAACTGAAACAGAAAGCTAAGCAAAACAACAATGTAGGGATGGAAACTAAATAAGTGGACAAACTAGATATTGGGTCATCTGACGAACATATATATTCGTCATGGGTTGTTCTTGATAGTTTTGCTGTTTAGAAACTGAGATTTTAATAAAAATAGTGTCGAGAGATTTGAAAATGGATCACAAAACATGCCAGAAGATAGTCCGTCTAAAAGAGGAAAGAAAACAGTACTTACTGCATGGTGGAGACGAAATAGGCTGCGAAGCGAATACACTTAAGGTCAGCGCGAATAGAGCAATCCATTGTTATTTGAAACTGCTCAACCCGAATATAAGCATTCGCTTAGCGATTCTCGGTTTGTAATAGCGAAAATATCTGAAATGTAACAACATCAAAATAAGACGAAACGATATGATGAACCAGGGTCATATACCACGAAAAGTTCTGCACCTCACAGGTTGCAAATTTAGAGCTTCCAGAACAGCTAAGAAGAGTTTGATTTTTAACTATTCCTAATTAAACACGTCTCAAGAGAGCGTCATACCTATTCAGGTGTGAGGATATGATGCATGGGTTACTTTTCAGATGAAGTCTCAAGTGGGAGCTCAAAATATATTGAATCGGTAAATAAATCCCAAAAATCAATATCTCTGTAAGTCTTCGATAATTCATGCTGACCTCATTAGTTTCAGTGAATATATCTCTTGCATTCTCAACATATCAAGAGTGAACATACTGTGCAACACATTCGCTACGATCGTTAGCTGGATTAGATCAAACACTTATCGAGACATCGACAGCTTGTCAAATATATATTTGAACCTCCTTGTTTCTGACTTCTGATTTGACCAGGTCGTCATACTTCGATGATACAGGTGTTGCATGTAAAGGCGATGTCGAATTCCGAAAAATTGTGGCATCCGCAGAGCATTTGAGAATTCAGATTTGAAGTAGGCTCTGTGGTATTGTATTTTATTACCATTATCCTCACTGTACACTTTGACAAAACATAAAATAGTTAGTCGGGCTGCAACTTTAATACAAATTCACATCTAAGGTATACTTTAAGAGGTAATGTATTGAAATCGTACGACCTTATCTGACTCCGAACGTAATATAACAATCCCTTAGCACAGGGACCTGTTTAGTTTGTAGCGGTAACTAAATTTCCAAAATAAATAGCTCTGTAGGTTTTCAACGTTGGATGCTGACCACATTAGTTTCAATGGAATCACCTAGCTGAAGACGCTCGGTCATGCATCCGCACAAGATCACGAGTGGGAACGCTGTGCTCAACATCCCCTGCAATCGCTAGCCAGATTAGATCAGACGATCCTCGATATATTGATAGCCTATCAAATATATCTTCGAACCCCCTCGCTTCTGCCTTTTGATTTCACTTCGACCACAATCAACTGATGTTTTCGTCCAACCTGACTTACGATATAGTTCACACGTCTTTGTTCGTCGAGACTCACATCAACGAACTCTCGAACCAGCACACGAAGGACTACTCAAAGTTGTTCGACGTGAATCTAAGTACTATATAATCGATAAGAACGAAACCAGCGATGGCATCAGCATCGATCGCCCCAAAGCAGATTATTTAGAAGGGAATCCTATTCACGTAGATTTTCCTTCGGTACAATCGCACGACATGACTCAGACTTATAAAACCTCACTCGACAGCCAACACACACGATGATACTTCGGCAGTATCAGAAAATAAACTTAAAACAACGCTTTATGGAAGAAGAGTAAGATTTCTAGAACATGTGACCGACTATTGTACGTAAAATACTAGTTAACATTTTATATCATCTCGATTTTCCTTTGTACTATACATAGTTTATAAAAAAACAATTTTACCATGCTTATAAATTTATATTTTCATTTCAAAAAGGACAAAAAACCGTGTTATAAAAATCTTTTTTTACGCTATTGCGTGAGCTTGAGTTTATTTTCCTTTTTTAGCCCGCTTTGTGTTTTTACGCGCGTACGAGTGTATTTCGACATGCACTTACATGTTTTTTTCTCTTCCAGGAAAAGACGATAAAAAGAACGATGAACATTGCGAGGAACCGAAATTTTTATTGTACTTTTTCTTTTCTTGCTATATTGTACTTCCTGGTCCCTTACAGCAAGGAAAGACAACCAGACGTTGCTGAATCTAGCAAGCTATCAGAAGAGTGTTCACCAATGACAAACTCGTTGTGTTTAAATTTTGGCTGGCCACGTCTTAGGATTATCACTAACCCCACTAGGTGGGAGTGATCCCCAAAATAAATAGCTCTGTAAGTTTTCAACGTTGGATGCTGACCACATTAGTTTCAATGGACTCACCTAGCTGAAGACGCTCGGTCATGCATCCGCACAAGATCACGAGTGGGAACGCTGTGCTCAACATCCCCTGCAATCGCTAGCCAGATTAGATCAGACGATCCTCGATATATTGATAGCCTATCAAATATATCTTCGAACCCCCTCGCTTCTGCCTTTTGATTTCACTTGGTGGGTACGCTTCATATTAGAAGGTGTTACTGGTCAAAGCGTTGTCGAAATCCAAATACCTGTGGCATCTTCATTGGTGAGTCTGTTCCTTTTTGAAATTCTGTATATTATTGCATTATATTAATTTTTCATATATTGTGATATTTTTCCCGTGTTTTTGATATATTTTTTTACACATTCATTGTCGTACTTCATATTTCACCGTGACGGAACAGAAAACCAAGGTAGTTAAGCTTAAGACTATGTCCCCACCTTCGTTCCAGATAGTGACTTTCTGGCAAGACAACATGGAAGCCTGGTTCTGCTACGCAGAAGCCGACTTCTACGGGCACGGCATGAAGGACACACGTGCACAATTCCTCGCAGTAGTCATGGCACTACAGAGCCAATTCAACAGGTACATAACATCCAGCATGTTTACTAGTGATGTTTCGGAACCCTTCGAAACACTTAAACCAACTATAAAATGCGGAGACCTTGTAGTGGCATTAGACCATAACCACACAATCTTCAAAGCTGAACACAAGACTACTCAGAAAATAGATATTCAATATTTAACACGGAGAAATACCTAAAAATGGCGAAGGCGCGAACAAGGAATTGAGTGGACTGGAGTTGATCGAGTGGCATGACTCGGCCATGCAGGCCTGGTCTCTGCTGAATGTTACCTTATATCTTCTATTCATATTAAATATATTGTTCTTTCTCTAGCCCAACCTTGTTCTACATCATGTATTGGTAATTGATACGATACAGTGAGTTGGTGTAGTCGATGGTGTGACTTCCACGTAAGATCTTATAGATTAGGCAGTTATATCATGACAAATCTACAAATTTAGGATTAGGTCTATTATTAGAGCAGTACTAATATCATAGTAGACCATAATTCTGCAACCTAACCGATCGACAATGGTTAGACCAACTTCTTAACAACATCGACCTGCAACACGGTTTTGTGACAGACATGTTGCAACGCATGAGAGAGGTTATTCACCAAAGAACCTTCGATGATGACCTATTTAGACAACTTTACTTATCAAAACTTCCTCAACAGGTGCAAGTTGTGCTGGTCTCGTTACAAAACAACGCCTTAGACGAGCTAGTTGCATCTGCTGACCGCATTTTAGAAATCACGGAATCTTCTAATACCGAGGCTTTTTCAGTCAAAGAAAAGCCTCAAACGACCCAGAATGATATAACAGAGTTATGTCATACGCTGACCCGATACCTTCGATATCGTAATGACCACCAGCGGTCACATACTCCACGAAGAAGCATTTCACGTGGGCGGTCTGTCTCTAGACCACGAGAGACTGATAACCCCGACTGGTGCTGGCATCATAATCAGCATGGAAAGTCCTCTAGAAGTTGCAGAAAACCCTGCAAGTTTCCCAACTCGAAACCGGCTGACACGAAAAACAATTCGGAAAACCTCTCAGCCAGCACACGTTAACGGCAACCGCAGCCGGCAAACATAGCCGTCTGTTGTACGTCATAGATGTGACAACCAGAGTTCGCCACCTCGTCGATACTGACTCAGAAGTGAGCGTTCTCTCAGCGAATTCTAGCGTTTACCTTATCGAGGGCTAACGCAAACCCACTCACTGGATCTTCGTTGTTGCAGGTGTTTCTATGCCAATCATCGGTATAGACCTCCTACAACACCACAATTTACTTATCGATACGCGCAATCGGGGGCTAGTAGACGGAAACACTATTTTATCTGTTTGCGTTACTTCCCCTTCCGGTTGCAGATTATCTCCTGTCACAGTTAGGCACACGATAGCTCCATTCTGTCAACATTTACTCGATAAGTATTCTGGGATATACCAATCGCAACCAAATAGCCGTGTGCAACCAGCAACGTTACACATCACATCACGACTACAGGACCACCGGTATTCGCGAAAGCACGCCCACTGGCCCTCGAAAAGCTAAGGTTGGCGAAAAACGAGTTCGACCACATGATAGAATTAGGTATCATAAGACCCTCAAACAGCCAATGGGTATCTTCGTTGCACATGGTCCCTAAAATGACAACAAAGTATAACAATTAAAGGAGTTATTGTCATTAAGTGGAGCCCGCGATTATGCCATCCAGTATTGCGTGGCTTATGGAAACGAAAAGGAAATTATGGGTCACACTAGTATAGTAGGGTAATAATATCCTTCAATTGTCAGGTTACATGTGACGGGGATAGTCTACAGACACATCAGATGAGAGGCATGGCAAGAGCTAAAGTGAAGGTTTGATTGGCTAGTTATGGACGAAACTAACAGGAAGTATTCGGCTGTCGAATGGCCCATGGGCATCTTCCTTACATATGGTCCCTAAAAAGGACAGCAACGATTGGCATCCAACTGGTGACTATCGGCGATTGAATGCGAAAACCATTCCCGATCGTTACCCGTTGCCTCACATTCACGATTTGACAGCTACCTTGAAAGGTACAACTGTTTTTTCGAAAATCGACTTGGTTGAAGTGCATAGCCAAACCCCGACGGCTGCTGACGATATTACATCATTACTCCCTTCGGACTCTACGAATTTTTCAAATGCCTTTCGCTCTAAGAGACGCTGCTCAAACATTCCAAAGATTCACAGACGACGTTTTTCGAGGTCTCAACTTCGTACAAGCGTATGTTGACGACTGTCTAACAGCAAGTCGCAAGTCCGGACAGAGAATCGCATCTCCAACATCTGGATCTTGTTTTCGAACGATTACAAAAACATGGCATTACTGTAAACATTCGGAAATGCCAAATCGGAACTGACCCATTAGAC